AATGAAATATAATGTAGTTTGATATATTGTTTTACGTTTTGTGCTATGAAGCAAGTTGACTGATATTTCAGCATCAGTGTTTCAGAGGTGGGGCAGCACATAGGGCAGGAGTTAGAGCTTTTGTCTCAGGTTCACTTCCTAGCTGGAGCCTTTCTGTGTGGAGTTTCTATGTTATTCCTGTGCATTCGTGGGATTTCTCAGGATGATCCAGTTTCCTACCATAGACCAACAACATGAATGTAAGGTTGAATTTTCATTATGACAACTCTAACTTGTCCCCATGTGTGACTGAGGGCATGTAGGGTTTTCTCGTTCATCTCTATGTGTCCCTGTGCTGGACTCGTAAAAAGTGTACCCTGTCTCTCGCACAAGTACTGCTGGAGAAATCAAATGTATGGATGTTTTGAAAGTTTGACTGAAAGTCTTGTAGAAGTTCCAAAACCAGAGATGTCCAGTCCTGGTCCACAAGGGCCTCTATGTTTTACTTGTTACACCTGTTACATTAGTGATTTAATTATCTCTTCATGCTTTTCAGAAACCTGTTAATCAGCAATAATCAAAAGGATATCCCTGGATTTGTATCACACCTGACTGGTGTTCTGWTCTTGGACTTCTGTGCTAAGCACGTGTTGTCCATAACAAACACCATGCATGAACATAGTGGTCCATTAATGAACTTGGTACCAGGCCACCTYAGGCCAAAGATTGATGGTTAGTTTTGTAATTGTGTCATCGGACATGTGACCCTATGTCTTGGCCAATCGGGTGAAGAGTGGGGCAGAGCTATCAACTGATAACCTGGTGGTGAGTTAGATCTGGTGACGGTTGAGGCTGCCGGACAGACCTGGTAAATCCAAACATATAGTGGGGGTGAAGTGGGAACGTTTGGCGAAGCCACCTCTTTGTGCARTCCTCAATCTCGCCTCCGGGAGAGTTTTTCGCATGTCTTGGGGGTCATGTGAAAAAATCGGAATGGGCCATGGTCGAACGAGCCATGTTAAGGGCCTCCATTGCAGATGCAGCTTCAAGGAGCTGTGGCCTGAAGGTCATTGGTGCCTGTCTCTAGTGGACACCAGTGGTGATGGAGTCCATTRGGCTGAAGAAAGAGGCCTTCAGGAGTTGGCTTTCCTGGAAGACTTCTAAAGCAACTGACAGGTGCAGGGTGGCCAGAAGAGCCTCAAATTTGGTGGTTGCAGATGAAAATCTCTGGCATGGAAGGAATTTGAGGAGGCCATAGAGAAGGACTTTCAGTTGGCCTAGAGGAGGTTCYGGAAAACCATTCGGCAACTCAGRAAAGGAATGTGTTCCCTGTCCAAGGCTGTGCTTGGTTTGAKTGGGGGAACTGCTGAGGATATTGTTGAGCAGTGGAAGGAATACTTTGAGGATCTCCTCAATCCACCCTTAATGTCTACCGTTGAGGAGGCAGTCTGAAGACTTAGTGGAAGACAAATTCATTACCATGGCAGAGATCACCAAGGTAATCAAAAGTTCCTCGGTGGCAGGATGCCAGTGGAGGATGAGATTCGCCCAGAGATGCTGAAGGCTCAGTGTGGCTTACTATCATCAGTGTGTAAATGTTTATATATATATATTTATATATGTTTTATATAAAGCATATTTGAGAGTCCTAAAAAGCGCTATGTAAAACTTATTCATTATTAGTTTTTATTTATTCTATGAGTTCAAAAAATGTCATTGTTAAAATTTTCAGAGTCAATTTAACTCCCTCTAGTGTTATTTTAACATTTACTGAATAAACAGACTTCCAGTGTTGGTGTTAATTCACAGTGTTGATTTACAGTGTTAATTTCYTCAATGTTGTCTCAACACTGGACAGTGTTAAATAAGCTTCACCCATGGTTAAGTCTTACATAACACTTAACAGTGTTGATATATGACACCATGCAGTGYTGAAAAAAGTATTCTGGAAAAGCCCCGTCCTCTTCCACCTCATGTCAGCCAGATCAGTATTTTCACAGTAAGGGATGCTGGGTAATCTTGTAGAAATGATGTTTTTGCATGTTTATGACTATAAAAGAAGTTTATGAGTGTAAAAACTAATTGTACTGGTTAGTTGTTTTGTTCAGGTTTATTAGTTGATCAAGTTTATGTTTGTGTTATTGCCCATAAATCGACACCATGAGTGAGATGTATGTCCTGGTGTGTGAAGGTTGTTGACTCTATTACACTTATCTTGAATCTACCGTGTAATGTTAATGCAACACTAAAATGAGTTGATCTTAACTCTAAAGAGTTAAACTTACACTTTCAATTTGACTGTGTAATGACACATCGTAGTGTCTGTATTACATCTCTCAAACAAAGTATAGTTTTAGCACCTATAATGTTGAATTTGACTCTGTTACATTTATTTGGTCCTACTCGAAATTTGTATAAAATGTACTCTATTGCCAGTGTCAATTTCTCAGAGTTAATTTTACTCATGCTAGTGTCAAAATAAACAATGAAATGAGTAAAATTATTTACACTCTACAGAGTAATAATGCTATTTTTATAGAGTTAATTTTACACTAAATTTATTTTAAAAAGTACACTTTATTGTGTAATACTATTATTTATTTTTTCTTTTTCCACAGTCACCATGATCAACACCTGTTTGTATAATGGCTCTATAGTGATCCTGATATCAAGAACGGTTCTAGAAATATGACCCAATTTGTTTTGCTGATTACGGTGATTAATATTTGGTCTGAATCATATTTTTATGTTATTTTAATGAGGAATGTTTGATGTCATTATAAAAAATAAACCTCAAATAGTATTTAAATATTGAGATTTCCCAGCTGGAAAGAAACAAAAATGTTGCTAGCTTACAGGGAAAATCTCAAAACGGTTTTGCCTCAAAATCCTTTTTTGTTTGTTTCTCCTGCTCAAAAAACTGCTTCAAAAAATGTTTATTTTCACATTTATATTTCAGACAGTTCATTCAAATGATGGATAAGACATTTATTCATTATATTTTGACAAAATACAATTATTGCAAATGTTTGAATCCAAACACGTCTGGAATCTTATGTTTACTCCAACAGGAGGCTGCCCTACGTTACGACACCAAGACGCCTCGCTATCTTCACGTTGCCAGCAGTAAGACCAATCGGTGGGGACATCAGCGCWCCTACAGACTGCAGGTGTACAGCTTCGCAGGAGACCACCTACCAGAGAGCCAAGCTGAGGAGAAATCCATGTCCTGGGCCAGGTTGGTCAAGCTAGATGTGAAGTCAAAAACATTAAAATAGAAATAAAAACAAAAACATTTCTTCTGTAACTATTGTGCTGCTTAATGCAGATGAGTGAATGATCTTTGTAAAGCCTTTGAGGCTCCTAATTGAAAAAAAAAGATTTGAAGTTTCAAAGCATCAAAGATGGACCACTGACATCTAGTGGACAGCTGTGACTAAAGCGTTCATAAAGATTYACACATTTTGTTGATTAAGTTCCAACATAGAGGCAATAAAGCTAATTATAAACAGTTGAATTTTCATTATGAGAATCATTGTCCACACATTAAAATGTTTAGATTTTAAAATGTAAATTTAATAATATGGTGTTTAAATGTGTTGTCCTGTGATTTCATATAACTTAATGAAATATAATGTAATTTGATAT